AATCCGCACCAGACCACACATTCCCAAGCGCTAGGTGGCAGCTGCGCAGCGGCCGGTAGTAGCGTAAGCCCGAACCTTCGTGACACGACCCGGCGGGGGGGGGAGGGAGGGGAGCGGGCGGGGCAGCGCGTGTAGGGAGGGGTGCTCCAGCAAGCTGGCAGTTGTCGCGGCCAAAGGTCAAGGGGTCACACACCAAGCGAACGGACGCTGATGTGGGCTCGTGGGGATCATGAACTTGTGTGTGGTAGATGCGTCTTGCGATGCACGGGTGATACGCCAGGTCTAAGCCAAAGGATTCAGGGGAGAGCTGAAGAAAAAACACCTGGTCAACTACGGCGAATAATGGTGCTGAAAAATTAAAAGTATGGGTCAATGGCAATGCAAGCCTTCATGACTATAAACAACTTTTCTGAGGACGCAAAGGCCAGCATTGAATAACGATATCCGGATCGAAATTAGCAATGATTTATAATTAAATGCCGAACTAATAGCGCTGCAAAACCCTCTTAGTAAATTGTTAAGTCGGATTATACCCACTTGAATTAAACTATCCTAAATAAAATTGTTAATTAACTTTCTAACACTGACGTTCTTTATCATACGATAAGTATGGGGTTAACCAAGATTCAGCATCTTCCGCGTTCAAACAATCACCTGTAAGGCTAGAACATTAATGGCCAGGTAAAAACATGGTCGGGATTTGATTAACCGGATTATAAGTCGATTTTTTTTAGTCGGGATTTGATAAGTCGGATTTTTTTTTACGCCAACCGCATTTTTAAGTCAAGTCAGGTCACTGATCTATGACGATAAATGAGCAGTCCTAAAATGAACTGTGTGAAACTGTCCTAAACTGTCCTAAAATGAACATTTTAGGACTGTGCTAAAATGTTCCAACTTCGCAACACCCTCAGTGCAGAGCTTTCATAGGGAGATGAAACTTACAGGATCTTATAGTATGATCGAGAGGTCTCACAACTTGTATAAATGTATATCTAGGATTTTCTTGAGGGTCGCCTGAGATCAGGTCAGTCTCTCACCATTAAAAAGTCAATGTCCGTGAAGTTAGCGTCAGCAACAGCAACAAATACAGCGTCGGATTCAGAATCGCTTAAAAAAACTCATATTAGGTCAATTGGGGGACGGGGAGCAAGAATATGACCTTTATTTGGCCATAGCTCTTACCCCTTACCCCTTAATCGGCCCTTAAAGGACGGGGCGCGTCAAAAGTGCCTCAAGGGTTCGTCTGATCGCCAAAATACCTAAGGGTCGCAATCGATTTCTCGGGTCAATATCTAGCCGCAGCCTCGGGTTCCAAATGTGTGCAACTTACCCCTTACCCCTTAATCGGCCCTTAACCCGCGCCCTGATGGGGGGGGCCATTTTGGCCCCCCCCTGTGGTTTTTCTTAAATAGCGAGAAAACGGCGGCGCGCAGCGCCGCCAAATTTTGGGTACCTTACCGGGCATCAATTTGACACCTTCACACAAAATTTCAAGTCACAGGTCACCTCAGGTCAGGAGTTATTGAGGTCAAACTGAGGTCATGTTCGAGTAAAAATGAGCAAAAAACATGACATCTTTAAACGCTCACAAATTCTACAGTTAACAAGCAATTTTAAAGTTCTTTATGTGGTTGTGTAGAGAAAAGACGGCGCTACAAAACTGCTATCTCGGATTTTCGAAATTTTGGGATTTTGACCCCCAAAAATCAAAAAAATTGATTTTTTTAGAAAAACTCAAAAAATTTCCAAAAAATTTTCGAATTTCGAAAAAACCGGAATATATGTGATAGTCCGTGCGCTCTTCGATATACATACCAAATTTTAGATCGATGCCTCTTTTTTTGGCCAAGTTATAGTGAAAAAACTGTTAAAAATTGATGACGTCAAATTTTTGAACTCAATTTTTAGCAATTCTAGACCTCGTAGCGCAAAACGGAGACCACCATTGAACTCCCCGTGACGAGCTGCATCGAATCGATACCCATTTTATGCAAAAATATCAACTTTGAAATTTGACCTAATTTGACCTGACCTTGACCTGACCTTGACCTGACCTTGACCAAAACGTGACCTAAGCTGGCCCTAAAGTCTGTCTGACCCACATAATCGCATTTGTCATGTAAAATGGACCATAAAACATGTATCACACGACACTTTCATATTGTGACCCCCCAGTGACCTGACCTCTGTGACCTGACCTGGTATCAGTGACCTCAAATAGCAAACTATGTGTTTGAAGAACATTTCCCCATCGATGATTTTCAATGAAATGCATTTTACTCGATTTTACAACGCATTTCTTGAAATGCCTGTTAACGGTGAAAATTCGACCTTTGACCTGACCTGTGACGTCATCGGTTTGACCGAGGTCAATGAAATTGGGTCACAAGGTAGTTCCCCGTTGGGGCTATCCAACACCGTTTACCGCTTGTCGCTATGTTGCGTGGTTCTCGAGATCTGAGGGGGGGGCCAAAATGGCCCCCCCCATCAGACCGCGTTGCTCGGCAGACCCCATCTGGGCGCGGGTTAAAGGAAGTGGCGCGTCAAAAGTGCCTCAAGGGTTCGTCTAACTTCTAACTTCACGACGCTAACTTCACGGACATTAAAAGTCAGGGGAATATGGAAATTGCTAGTTTGGTCCGGAAATGATATACAACTATCTCAAATTCTCAAGCACACGGAATCGTGATTTCATGCGCTCCTTGCAAGGTCTGATGCTTTAATTTTGCTTTGTTGATCTTGCGTGACGTCATTTATCACGTAACTAAGGCTATCAGTTTTTCGTCAATAACTCCCGATCAACTAAAGCTACCGAGTCGATAAAGTCACTAATGGACATGAAAAGACCTGCTGAATCGATTGATATGCAATATGACCTCCTTTGACCAGCTACGTGACCTGACGGGCTGTGACCTGACCTTGACCCAAGGTTAACACCTTAACTCTCGCCCGTATAGGTGTTTTTTTCCAGCCTCAAACGTATAAGGGTCCGTTGGACCCCCCTTGCCGTTTCGCCCCTGATCGAGCTAGAGCTTCGCGGAAAAAACGAGCGTGTTGGCCGTGACGAGAGGAAGTCGATGATACCCAATTTTAAGGTCCTAGGTCATCGGTTGACTTTCCAGGTCAGGTCAATGACCCAAAAGTCGGGGAAATCGGGACCTGTTAGAAAGTCGTAAAGCGTGGCTGCTATGGGGTTTTTGGGGTGCTGATCACGAATATCATGTTAGTTTTGATCACAGATGATGTCTTCATGCATTTAGGCCAGGTCGGGTCAGGTCAGGTCAGGTCAACCAGTAAGGGTATTCGTAGTAGGTGGCAACCGCCTCTGACAGCTTCGCAACATGTTACGAGGGCACCAAAACTACTTCGTAAATGTTCATATGGCTGCTAAATTCGAATTCAGCTCCTAAAACTGGCCTAGAAACATGTAAAACTCGAAAAAGTGAACCGAGGTCATCAAAGGTCAATGACCTGACCTGACTTTCCGGTGACCTTGACACCCACCCTAATGCATGGAAGCAAGATCATATCCCATGTTTGAACGCTTAAAACCACGAAAAGACTGCAAACGCGCCGCTAATGCGAGCCGACATACGCCGAATCGCGATTCCGGCCAAACATGGTCTCGAAAAGAAGGTCGCAGGTCAAAGGTCATTAAGGTCAGGGTCATGACAATTTCGGGGTGGGTGTAAAATTGATTAACGCGAGGGTACTGAAAGTTTCGTCGCGATCGGCCGCTTTTTACGCGAGTTATTCGCGAAAAACCGAGGGAGAGGGTCCGTTCGACCCCCCCCCCTCTATACGGGCGAGGGTTAAGTTGATCTCACCCGAAGAAAAAGTATACCATTCGACACGCCTGAGCTAGACAAACACGATGCTGCTAAAATCGCGGATCTGCGATCATTTTTAGCGAAGTTATTTACCAAAAACCCAACCTGTGCCTTGGGCCACTTGACCTGACCTCCGAAGTCATCGGCTGACCCTGGTCCTTAAATCGGAGACCAAACGCTGCATTTCGTAACGACGCACACGATCGTTTCTTTCGTGAGGCTCTAGCTCAATTAGGGGCGAATCGGCGAAGGGGGTTGGTTCCTCACTTCCAACCCCCAACGTCCCCTCGGTATTCAGAAAACCTGAAGGTCCGGTGAGGGTTAAAACGTTTCTCCTGAGCGAGGAAGAAATGTGAAAGTCAAAGCTCTATAGACGTCCTGTAAAAGTGGCCATAATAAAATAAATAAAATTCGTTAGAAATAAGATGCTTTTTAAACGACTTACTCATATAAAATCGGGTGCTGGGACCAATCTTATAAACGCTTTAGAATGGACAGGGTGTCACTGGCTAAAGTTTGGGTACCGAAAACGGCTATTACCTAAATGCAAAATGGTTTTCATGCATTTCAGTCAATTGTATATTGTCGGTCCCAGTGGCCGAGCTAAAAAAAAATCGGTAGTGTTTTGCATCTTTTACGCCCTAAGAAACTACACCATCTATCGAAGTGGGCGGGCTTATTTGAATGGGAGGGCGCATTATGCACGAATCGTGTGCTTTCGTTTATTTTGGACTTTTTTTACCACATCCACTGTTGGTATCACTATTAATATTATCTAATGCCGTGAATACGACAGCATTCCATTTATAAGATTGGGCCAATGGAGTCGCGCCCTGCGAGCTCGGTTTTCCACTGGGCCGCTACAGGCCAGGAAGTCGGTCTTCGCCTGAGGGCAGGACAAAGGTCAGCGAGGGAGCGCGGGGTCAGCCAGGTATCGCCAAGTGCCGAGCGAAAGCCGCTCCCTCCCCTCTCTTCCCCTCTTCTCCCCTCCCCACCTCGGTATAGATGGGGAGGGACCGAACTGCCAATGATATGCGAGCGGTCAAGGCCGCTCGCGCGGCAGCGACCCTGGCGGCCGGGTGCCGCAACTGGGATTCAGCCAAGTTACCGATTCGCCTCCTGTGGGAGAGCCAAACCAGGGGACATACTTTTTAGACATACTGTACATAGTCGGCGCTCGGCTGCCGGTGACGCCTCCTCTGCGCGCAGTGCGGCGCCGCCGGCGCTCTCTGCCGCTTCTCGCAGGAGGGCGGCCCCATCCCGGTCAACAAGAACCTGTGGTCGCTGTCGTTTGTGCTGGCGCTGTCGGGCCTGGCGTCGGCGCTGCTGGCCGCCCTGCACCTGCTGGTGGACGTGTTCGCTGTCTGGCGAGGCCGGCCCTTCCACTACGCCGGTGAGCGCGCCGCGCCGGGGACGAGCCTCAGACAGCTAATTCAGGACGCTCTCAAAGTAGCATTTGTTCAGCTGCTAAATGCGGCATTATATACATTATCCCTCGCCCTGGCAGGGCATTTTTCATAACACGGCCTGGCAGGGGGGGGGGGGGGGGTCGATGCGATCTCCCCTTGCGATTGGCTCCTATGGCACTTAGAAACACTAAATTTGGTAGGTAGGTGGACCTCCTGGAGTTCTCACCGCTGTGCAAATTTTGTTGCTCTAGGTCATTATTTAGGGGGGTTTTGGGGGGTATGAATGTAAAAATTTCGCCAAAAACAGGTCAAAAGTTCTTCGCTTATAACTTTTTATCTAATGAAGATAGAGCAAAACGAAAAGCACCAGTGAACTCAGCACGTAAAGGCGCGTCGAATGATATACTTGTTTGCTTGCTTAATTCGTATATGATGTAAGATAAAAACACCAAAACCACCCAACGTTTCGTGTTATTCACTTTTTCATTCACTTTTTCACTTTATTCACTGCTTGCTTGCTTACGTGTACTTAAAAGTTAGCACATCTTAACCCTGTTCCGGGCGGGGGGGGTCCTTTAGGGCCCTCCCCATTCAGGTTTTTCTTGTGCCATTGCCAAACGCCGCAAGACTGAAAGCTCATACTCGGTGACTTTTTCTAAACATTTATTGCGCACATTTTGACAAAAAAAGTTGCCGTGTCAGGTCAGGTCAGGTCACCAGAGGCGGTTTGTTGACCACCACGTCAGAAAAGTTTGCAATCACGCCAGAGCTAGAGTTTTTGACTTAGCAGTTTCTTCTCTTCAGGTTTTAGTAAGGGTACCAGTATGTACAATTTGTATATCTCAGAATTTTTATATCTGTGACCTGAGGTCAGGCCAGACTCGTGACCTTTACATTGCAAGCCTATGGGAAAATATTGAAACGCCTCCTGCTTCGTTTAAACGAGTCAAAACCACCCAATTCTTTCGGTATTATGGAAGATTATCTCATCGGTGATGATCCTGGTGCCGATCATTGACAGGGGCACCGGGAAAGCTCATATGAGGTCATGTGACGTCATAAATCATTTTTCTGTCAATAAATCACGACATGATGGTGCTTAAGACTTGTAAGTGGTACCAAACTGCTCGCCTGGTCAAGACGCGTCGTTTGGTATGCAGCATGACCATACCCCACAACCTCATTGATGAATGACCTGACCTTGACCTCGGGTCAAATTTCAAATTGACCTGTGAAGGTCATCGCATGCTTATTTCGCATCGCCTCGACGAGAGCAACAAAAAATGTACTAATTTTATGTCTCTATGTGTCTTAGTTTAAAAGTTATATAAGCAACTTATTCCAAAACATTTTATCGTTGATGGCCTCTGGTGACCTCAATATTGACCTGACCCGAAAATGTTTTGTGTAAAAGTTGTAGATCTTTAAACGACCTATCAAACGCCGTTTGCCGTTTGTCGGTCCGATATGTAGTTTTTGAGATCAAAAGGGGGGCCGAAAAGGCCCCCCCCGCCCAGAATCGAACCGTTCAGAGCCCGCCCGGAATAGGGTTAAGTATAACTTAAGTCTTAAGAATGGTCGAAATGCTTAATGTTGCATATCATTCGACTCGGCTCTTCAAGCGGAACAGAATGATACCATTTTGAAAGCTGTATATTTATTATGTGACAAGTTATTGGCACAAACGTCATTTGACACCTGTTGACCTCATTTGACCTGACCCATGGATAAGTACACCAAACAAAGAAGCATCAAGTGACATAATGTTATGTACTGATGTGTTTCAAAGCACAAAAGTGATAGAACGAAGCGGAAATCTCCAGTATTTTCCGAATTGAATATTTTCCCATAGGCTTAACCCGGCAGGCGGTGGGCCTCCCGGCCACCTTCCGCGCGGTGGGGGGGGGGGCATTTCCCCCCCCCCGTATCTCCGAAACTACTGGACGGATCCGGAAAATTCAAGCGGCGTTCGATAGCCCTGTCAAATTTGTTGAAGGAACCCAAATTTCATTGACCTTGGGGTCACCGATGACGTCACAGGTCAGGTCAAAGATAAAATGTTTCACCGTTCACGGGGCTTCTAGGGAAAGCGCTATAACACCGAGTAAAACGCATTTTGTCGAAAATCAGCGATAGGGCGTCAGTTGTCTAGTACATATGTTGCTATTAGAGGTCACTGGTCATACCAGGTCAGGTCACAGGTCAGGTCACCAAAGGTCACCACATGAACCCAACTTTACTAAGGTGGTGCGATGCATGCTTTATGGCCAGTTTTTCATTTCCAACTCAATGGTGTTGGTTATAAGACCATCAGGTACGGTTTAGGTCACTTTCTGGTGGAGGTCAGGTCAAAAAGGTCAAATTTCAAAGTTGATATTTTTGCATAAAATGGGTATTGATTCGATGCAGCTCGTCACGGGGAGTCTAATGGTGGTCTTTGTTGTGCGCTACGAGGTCTAGAACTGCTAAAAATTGTGTTCGAAAATTTGACGTCATCAGTTTTGAAGTTTTTTCGCTATAACTTGGCCAAAAAAAAGAGGTATCGATCTAAAATTTGGTATGTAGATAGAAGGCGGTAGGGACTATCACATATCTTCCGGTTTTTCGAAATTCAAAAAACTTTTTGGATTTTTCGGCTTTTATATTAAAAAAATCTATTTTTTTTATTTTTGGGGGCAAAATCCAAAAGTTTCAGAAATCCGAGAAAGCAGTTTTGTAGCCCTCTAAATTCTACATCTTTTTTGTTGAAACATTTTTCTGTATCTCTAAAGCAGGCCTGACAGCTCTTCTCGCGAAACCTTTTTTTGGTCGAAAATAGCAAAAATGACGTCACCCTGACGTCATTAGCGTCCAACCTAGCAAAGCCTTTGGAAAAGTTTTGGTCACAATGTGCATTGTGCAATAGCTATTCACGGGAGGGTAGGGTAGGGTGGGGTAATTTGAACATATGAGGCAATTTGAACATAGTGTGAATAACAAAAAATTACGGAAAATCCATAAGTGGCATGACAATAAGACCAATGAGAGAAATTATCATAACTAAAAGGGCTATCATATGAACGGGGTTTTAAGTTTCAGGGAATGAACATTTTGACGCACAGTGTAAAAAATCAATTTTGCAAGGGAAAATGCCTTACAACACGTCATTGCAACTTCATTGCAGCGCAAAATTTTGCATTGCTAGCGCCTAATACGCAACGGCTTTTGTTGTACAATGACCTAATCAGTGCCTTCAATCCAAGAAATTTGCCTTTGAACTCTGTTTTTAAAAATGGCAAAATAACTTTTAGCGTGGGGTAATTTGAACATAGTATGAAAATGTCAATGAAGACAGGGATAGCTCCGAAAAAACAACGCTTCCAGTTTTTTTTGCCAATATTTTCGACCCAAAGCTGTAGCAGATAAGTGATGCCAGTTTTAGAAAACTTACGTCTAATATCCGTCTAATGTCCGGCATTTTCGTTGATTTTCCGTCCAAAAATGTTAAAGTCAACTATTTGTCCAAATATGTCCGAAAATTATGCAGCTATCAACACTCAAAACCGTCATTTATATTGCTTATCATGTAATTTTACCAGCCGAAAAGTGTTTATTATATTGAGAGCTTAACAAGCTTTCCATTCGCCAATCAATGCTACGCACGATTACTTGATAAAGCATGCTTAAGCGTGGCAGGCCATCGTCCAATGTTGTCCAGACTACTATACCTTTGTGCAATCAATTCCGAATTGGACATTATAAAGAATAGGAACTCCGAATGTCCAGGTTCCGATTGGCACCACCATAACAGATGAAGTAAGGTTTGGGAGAGTTTTTATCGAACGGAGATGATAGACGTTCTGTTAATTGAAGAGAGGCGAATTCTGTCAACCGACCGGTGTGCAGCGTGCAGATTTTGATACTCTGCAACTATTATTTTTGTTGTTGTGTTGATTTTTCAAATGAAGGTATGCTTAGAATTGCTCTGCCTATTCGTTTATGGGTCAAACAACATCGGTGCTGGCGGGACTATCGTTTTTATGGCAGGTAAAGGCAGTATGTTCAAATTACCCCACGGTTGGGCAATTTGAACACATCGTGACTTGGTGGAGAAGTGATGCTATGCTATTCAAGGTATGCTCGGCTCGTCCAAAAATGAGGCTTGCATGGTGAAAGCAAGTGACACATGCGCTACTGAAACAGTTTTTCTTCATCCAGGGTTGAGCTGGAATTTGGTACAACGGAGAAAACGTAAAAATATGTTCAAATTACCCCACACTACCCTACTGAAAGTTTGGTGACGATCGGCGCAGCGGTTCTCGAGATATATCGAAAAGACTAAAGGGGGGGGGGGCAAAAAAATGCCCCCCGCCCACCACCTGGAAGGTTAACATTACGACGTAATGACCTCTATCTAACTGACCTCAGGTCAGTGACATATAAAACGAACTATATGTTATACAACTCGGTGAACTTAGCACATCCTGAAAGTTTGAAGGAAATCAGTCTAAAACTGTGAGTTGGACAGGTGCATAAATAAAATTAAAATTTGACCATGGTCCATGACCTTGTACCGGTTTTTCTGACAGGTGACCTGAGCCAAAGTCACCCGGACCTGAAATTTTCAGGTCATATGTAAAGAGGCTGCCCCATAGGCTGTGCCAAATTTGGCGGCGCTGCACGCCGCCTGTTTTACGCTATCTTTGAAAACCCTTAGGGGGGGTCGCATCGACACCCCCCCCCCCCCGCCAGGGCGAGGATTATACATTTTACGGCTAATTCGCTGAGTTCAAATCAGGGCCTCCTCTAACATGTTAATTGGGGGGGGGGGGCGTGGCCCACGCGGCCCATCCCCCCTCCAGTGGAGCTAAAATCGCGTCACGGGGGGGGGGGGGCAGGCAGTTAAACCAATCATATATAACGGCGAAAAACTTCCACTTCAAGCTAACCAGACACTCAGCAATTCTTCACCATCATCCACTTTCATAAGGAGTAATTTTAGTTT